CGCATATTCACACTCACTAATAGCATGTTGAATTTACGGAATGTCTACTCACAAATTTTTACATGAAATGCGCGCACAAATTTACTAAATGAGGTGAAATTTAGTAACACAAATTTTGGGCAGTGCCGTATAAATTATGGATTTCCCTTTGTTTCAAGGCCCCACAAAATTCCATGGGGTCAGCTGAGAGGTCCTTCTGCGTTATGGAATAATTAAGGTGGCCGTATAACCACGCTGGAGATTGCCTAAGTTTAGAAATGCAAACAAATGGGAAAATACAACAGTGCAGCGTCGAAGGCTGACCACTGAATACGCTTATTAGTCAACTTCAACTTTTGAGCTAACCAGCCCAGGTATTCAGGAAAATCGGGAAACTGATAAATTAATTCGAAAAAAGGGAAGTTACTTGGTACAGTTGCTCCCTTGAAGGCACATTGCAGCCTCTCAGCTGAAACATTAATAAGGACAGCAAAGTTTAGCATCGTCCGAGTTGCTAAAAAAAGGTTACAACCCTTACCGCTGAGGATATATATAGCTACCGCCGGAAGTTTTGGCCAACTTTGCTGATTAGGTGACTAATATTTTGTTTTTTATTGTGGTATATGATATGCCTTTGGTCCTGGAAAGACTGCGAGTCAACTGAAGGTCAACGTAGCCAAATATGCTTCTTCAGATGGCGGCCGTTTGTCCGCTTCCGGATGGAATAAATGTCGACGAAATATGCCACAAAATCTTTTGGGTGTTGTTATATCTACTGATTCGTCAATCTGTGGTATCTGCTGCTGTCCCGCTTTAGTGCCCAATGTCGGAGAAAAAAGACTCACAGAAGGGAACAAAACCGCTATATTCCGAACAAACGAGTGCGAGAGCAAAATTTACAACGGCCCCACGCTATTTAAATTAGACTTTCTGACATTGGTCGAGGCTATCTGATAGGCGTTAATGAACATCCATCAAAATCGATCGTGCCTCTATGGAAAGCCTGAACACATTGGGTCGTGCTTCTGTGGCGTGCAAGATAACCCATCAGACTTTGTTGAATTGATTGAATGACTGACTGGCCTGGATGCTTGCCAGCTTTCCTGTTGCGTATTTGGTGGTGCAGTAGGTCACGGATGTTCTGAGGTTGCTTTTAGGAGTCTGACCTTCTTGATAGGTGTCTTTTCAAAACAACTAATATATTGCCTGAAAAAACGTGCTGTTCACTTTCCTGATCACAAAGGACATAGATACCAGACGTGTGGTTATGTCGGCCTGTAGAAATCGTTCAGTTTGCTCCCATGCGTAAACTGTTTGACTTGTTTTTGGGAAACTCTAAGTGAACAGCATAAGGTAAGGACATTCGTGACGGACAAACTGGATGCACAAAGTTTGGCAGCAAGAGTAGTGCTTGGCTGCTACTTTCGTAGCAAATATTCTTTTGGGAAGCCCGTATTTATCACATATTATCCACTTCTTTTGTTCACGGACACTGCAAACAGCCATCACCTGCTACTTTGTGTAGCCAGCTGGGACGATGCTGTAGAGTATCCTATAATCATAACTGTACGGGAGTGCACAGTTGTTACATGATCTTCACCTGCTGAGCCACATTTGTCCACGATTTATCTCCTACCTTGCGGTCAACATTTTTACACCACTCGTTTATGGGCCGTGGCTCACAATATGAAATTGCTCATTTTAGACACATGACCAACTACCATATGGAGAACGGCTACCTGAAAAGTTGGGTGCAACTCCAAGATCATGTCATACAGAAGGTGTTTCGGACGCTGAGTGGCTTGTTTGGCAATATGAGATGCATACGTTCGACCGACAGGAATTCTTAGAGGGAATCGACCACTTACTGAAAGTTGCTTCTCGAATGACACGTAAGCGCTTTCCCTTGATTTAAGGCACTTGGGAACTTGACTTCAATGACTTCAACTTCAGATTGTCGGAACAAACGAGCTGAGGTATATTTACGTTAACTAGATTATAGTTAGTCGTGGGAACACGTAAGTGCCTGCAGACGCCTGACACCTGTGCCGATAAATACGCATAACGAGCTGATGTATATTTACGTTAACTAAATTATAGTTAGTCGTGCGAACACGTAAGTGCCTGCAGACGCCTGACACCTGTGCTGATAAATACGCATGCCTCTTCCACCATGCGGTGTGGCTTCCCCGCATGCCATTGTCCTCCGTATCTAGAGACTACTTCGTTCCAAGCAGTAGGATATATGATTCGTAGATGTTTCCGTACGTTGCTTCTCTACTAGCGGTGATTTTTGGAATACAACCTACCAAAACAAGGTATCCTTGTTGCAAATGTTCCCAAGCCAACGCCGCCAACTTTCGGTACCTTGTGTAAACAACTGAGCGAGTGGCTTATGAACCTGACAGGCTGGAACCCAGCAGGGACACCACCGTCATTAAGCAGTTGATCTCTCAGGAGCAAATCCAACGTTCGACGTCTGCGCGTGCCGACATACTGTTGGTGGCTGAGGACAGTGCACCTCAACCAAGATGGCAGTCTAAAGACGCAAACGTGGGCTTTTGTGAGCTTTGTAACCAGCTGACTAGCAGCAGTGACCGTTGTTGTGCAACGGATCATAAATCATCCCACGTCGGCCGTTGTGATGACGAACCATACCTGCTGTGGAATGATGCTCCTCAGACTTGTCCTACGGGTGAGTCCGCAGATGAGTAACATATTTTCAGTGCCTATCCCCCGGCTGGTCAAGAAAGCGCAAAAATGTACTTTCCACCTTCGCCCTGCAACGAAGAGATATGTACGTCCCTCAACAACCTGGAACACGCTGCTAACTATCGGATCCCAGGTACGAAAGCATTTATTCGTTCATGTGTTTAACTTTTGGGAATCCAAATGAGTTTATTGGCAGTTGCCAAGATGATATTTGGTCCGTTTGCCTGGTTTTAGCTGGTGGCTCTGAGACGTTTCCTCACCATGCGACGAGACGTTGTCAAGCGCACAATGACCATGTCTCCTCGCGTGGTGAGATCATATTTGTTGGCCAGCCTGGATGTATTAGTCGAAAGCCAGTCAATTAAAACCTAATTCGCTCCTTCGTCGTCATTCATAGAGATTGGACGAGTTCGGTTCCTTCAATCCAAATATTCACTCGTAAAATGATTTACCTTAAGACGGTTTATCGCCCTCCAACCTACTTCGAAGTCGAGGAACTGAGTTAGCATTTTTTGCTGGTTCTATGGCCTAAGTAGAGTTATTGAAACTGTCGTATCAATGCACTGGAGAGGACGAGCAAATTTCTGCCGGCTGGGTTTTTGAGTAGAAGTTCTGGATTGGACTGAATATTCTTGATGCAAGGCAATACTCCCCATCGGATTTGCATAATCAGATCAGCATGGTGAACGCTTTGTTTTATCCGGGCGATTTCGTTCAACCCTTTGAACTCATTCGTTTTTGTAGGTTAAAATGCCACAGGTAACGTAACAAAACATATGAAGCGACCAACATTTCAGTCACTTACATTATGGTCTGTGTGTTGTCAGTCAAACTTCTGGAATAACTGGTTTGCAATGGTTTGTTCCAAAGACTAGTTCAAGGATAGTTCAGTTTTACCGTAACCGGATACAACCAAAAGGGTTATCAGATTACCGTTTGTTTAAAACGGAAATCGCCTATCGTTTTCCTGTTTGTCACGCCAAGCATCTGAAACTCAGGTGGTGAACCTTGCAGCAATCCTTTTCAGATATACATCTTTGTTGTCAGTGCTTCTGGGCTGTTTGGCATGCGTTGGACGGAACCTCGTCTTAAACATCTAAATATTCTTGGATTACGAATGTACTACCATTAACTAAAAAGTTTCGTACTATTGAAAATCATCAATGACGATGAAAGCCCCATGCACGCATCTTGGATTTTCGACATGAACTAACTTTACTCACAGGACAAACTTTCTTTTGAAACGTTACACTGGAAAAAGCATCTCTCATCTTGAGCACTTAATTTCCAACTTCCTCAGAATTTGTCGTAAAATAGTTCTGAATTGCTTATTTCGGCGGGTTTGAAAAGTTCGTGTTGGTCCCCCAATTTTGACTACAATCTTCATTTGGCTCTAGTGCTGATTATGTTTCCACTGGTCAGACGAGATCTGCTAACCGGACGTCACGATCTGAAATTACTTAGTTGCACTGAATCTCATCACACCTTCTACCTCAAAAACTCGGGCAGGAGTCGTTATTTTTTACCTTTTGTGTACTCTTACTACGACTGTGTCAAAAACCCAGCATTCGAACAACCCGAGTCACCTGATTCTCCCTCAAAAACTCGGGCAGGAGTCGTTATTTCTCACTTTTTGTGTACTCTTACTACGACTGTGTCCAAAACCCAACCTTCGAACCACCCGAGTCACCTGATTCTTAGCACGGAGTGCTTCACATTCTTTGGTCTAGTGAAACATCTGATCCCTGACAAAAGGTTTGAACTCTGCAAGACCCCAGCTCATCTCCGACTGATTGATTGACTGACTGATTGTTGAGCAATTGGAATGAAGGAACTAATCAATGCGGTTCAATTTATCAAAGTTAAAGGCGTTGGCAATGCGAGTGTTTGTGATGCCCATAACGACGCGGCTCTAATGCAGTGACATGCCATGGAACACTTGCGCGGCAAAGGTTGTGAAAAAATCGATTGAGGAAGGCCACCAATTTAATGATCTATCAGATAAGAACTGGATCAATGAACGGACCAGTCACACAGACTGGAACAGGTTGTGCACAGCTGTTTGTTAGGAAACTAATATTCTTTGTACAGAGGAAGATGAAGGGATGGACAAGAGGTCAGTCATGCGATGGGGAGGCGTTTGGGGCCGATAAGTCCAGATCAGCTGGAAAGAAGTCGCTTGCTGCAAAACTTTGCCTATAGGTAGGAGATTGCTGAGAAAACCGAGGAAGATGTCGATGGTAAGTGGGCTGGTTGGGTGGTTGTGTCCTATCCAACACTAGATCAGTTGTAATGGAAAATGAGCGAACCGAGACTGGTGGATACAACTCGGACCCGGTGTTTGGTCGAAGAGGGGGAACCTGTGGAAGGGAAGATCGGTGAATAGGCAAAATGGTAGTCCTGAATGTTGTTTCTGTGGAACAAGTTGGGGAGAAAATTAGTGTGGATGATGTTGGTATGGTTGTCGTCGGGTTTACAGAGCATGTTCGGTCCATCAACCGCGACGGCTTTCTTACCACTAACAGTGAAGTACGACTGGGGCGGTTGGATGCGATTAACCTACTGCTTGATTCCGCGTGGACGCTTGTTATCGGAGTCCGAGCGTGACCAGACGATATGGGATTAGATTTTTGCGATGGCATTTCATCTTCCATCTTTTGGACACTTGGGGTAAGTGGGTCATCGAAAGAGGGATTTGATCTAGACGCATGAGTCGGAATCTGTGAGGTCTCGGTTTGTTGCTGGCCAAAGTAATCTTCAGAGTCACCCATCTTCCAATGTCCAGCTGAGTCACGCAAAACCTCAGACGCCCTCTGGTTGCAAGCCCCAGAAGATGTGAATGATCTGGAAGATGAGGAGCCACTGTTGTTCGTGAAAGCCACAGATCCCACCTGACTATTGGTTTCCGAAGAATTCTGCCGATAATATTGCGCAATCGTCTGACCAGAACGTATGGATTGTTGCATGTTGAAGTTCGTGACATCGGTTGAATAGGCCTGTGTCGTTCCGACACGCCTCTGCCAAGCTGTATGAAGTAACGTACCTTGTGATTGGGAGATTGAAACTCGGGGAACCTGTGTTGCTGCACTGTTGGCATTTTCATTGTTTTCACTCGACGAACATGCATCCGAAACGGAACAAAATGAATCTAATGGATGCACCCTGTTAGACAATGCTAACTTCGGCGACCGATGGCGCTTAGGCTGTCTTTGTAAGAGCCACGAAGTGGGTGAATGCAAGTGACCAGGTGAAGTGGTCGTTTCGGACGAGCGGAAGTCATCAGATACGCTCTCCACTGTATTGTTTCCCCGCCCTCGTTTTCCCAATTCTCTAGATTCTATGTTATCCAATAATTCATTTAAATGTGAATCAACTATGTTCATGCGTTCTAAAATTTGTCCAACATCCTTGCTGAGGTCGGATTGCATTTGAACCAAACAATCAAGGATGGTACGGTTCGATGCCTCCAGAGTTTCTATCCGTTGAGCAAGTGTCATTTGGTCTACCGACATCAGGTTTTTGTTATTGGTGGTGGGTTTCTCTGTGTGAATCCCAGAAAGTGGTTGTTTCAAGGCATGTACTGTTGACGACTGACTGTCTTTTTCGGGCTCCTCTCGTATTGTTGTGACTCTCGCCCACTTAGATTGTGGCCTCCCCGCAGCGGCGCGTTTCGTCTCCTCTGGGTCAGGTAAATGTGAGCTCTCGGTTATGTTCTGCTGAGACATTGTTTTATCGAGTTCGTCTAGGTTCGCTGAGGCACGTTGCAAAGCCATCCTTTTGCCCCATTTTGATGCTATCCCGTTCAGTTTTGTCACTCCAGGTGTTGGGGCCTCCGGAGTTGTAAACTTGTCCATTGTTGAGGTTCTTCTCACCACACCACCACCACCGTCACTGCCGCCACCAGCACCACCGGTTATTGCGCGATCTTCCTGATAACCACCACTTTCGCCTGCCTCACTGGTGTCACCAGCCGTCAAAGCTCTAGCTGGCTGTTCTGAATCTTGTCCATTTGGGATTGAAGAACCATTGGCTGACTGCGCATGCGATCCGATCATTCGAAAGCGATGAATCATTCGGCGAACTGGATGGTCAGCTCTGAGACCGGACAGGGGATTATCATTCTTACGATGCTCGGCCAGTTCGAACTCCCGCTTGACATCAGCCAGTTTTCGGAATATGAGCTGCAATGATAAGGGAATCAGAAAATCAATGCAAGATAGCTTGAACTGGTCCGTACATTCATCGGTCATGTCCTACACTGATTGCAGGCGTATCCGGAACTAAATGTGTGAAACTGTGACTGACCATATGAAAAAGCAGAGCTTTTGAGCCAGTCAAAAAGTGCATTTTGGGAGACTTAACGTAGACACGCTTCAAAGCTGATCGCACCAAAGACAGGTTTTCTCTCATTCGCCCCAAGAAGACCTCGATATTTTGCCAAAAGTTTGAACAGAATAGCTTCAAGGGTACTCATCAAGGTGCTTGCCTGGGGCTGACTCACGCTGATCTACGGAAAGCTATCTTTGGGTCCTATTCGAACGCCAAACTACGCGTGAGTAGATCTATGCACTCACTTGCAAACAGCATAGTTAAGAACAGTCTGAGAAGACCATCTCCCTTGTGAAATTCTCTGCCTTACTTCACACTTAACACCAAATTAAGTCAACATGTAATATTGTAATAACATAATATAGTATAATGTATTATATTATAAATATTATAATGTAATACATGGCTTTAGGCCCAAAACCCTTCGAAACCTTCCTCCGCCTACACCCTTTGTACAGCTCATCAAGAAGGTGAAACACCCGGATTACCACTTGAAAGTAATCACGGAGAAACGATTAAGATGAGAGTTATTCTCCCGTGAACATCAAGTCCATTTGCACGTGAGTGTATAAGTCTTTTAGTGCATAAGCGTACGTAAAACATTTCAAGACAAATAATCTGCAGGCACTGATGCTTGGAATTCTGACTTGGATTAATCAAAGCCGTGACTCTACCTCATGGTAACGCCAATGGCACCGTTCATTTTTTCACACTAAATCACGCAGTACAGCTTTCTGATGCTCAAGTTATCGGCGAAATAGTGGCGGTCTTCATGAGGTTGCTAGAAGGACTCTTGCATTTCTCTCTGACTCAGACAGTGAGCACAACTCAATCAAGCTTTCTAAGGACCATGTAGCAGGTCACGCATAATTCAAAACCGTGAGCAGCCAATGCTCCTCTCCATTGTCGATTGTCGCGGTGGTCGACCGCACTATCGCTCACGGTCCCTTGTGTAATACTGTTCTACTCTGGTAGTGTCACAAATCTTAGTTTTTCCAACTTTAAAATTGTGCCATTGACTCGATGGCTTGTCATAGCTACCCTCAGTTTAGAGCGGATTTACAGTTAAGAATGCCATTAGCTAATCAGGTGAGGGTGTTCCCTTTAATGAGGTCTCGGAATGGCAAAATTCTGTATTTTTCCTGATTTCTGGTAAAAGTCAAACAGCAACACTCTGTGGTCTTCGAGAGTTTCAGTGAACATCCCCCGAGAGCTTCTACTCCACACTCACATCAAGGCAGTCACAAGTAAAACGTTGGCTCCATGCACTCGTGCGACGCACAAAAGTTCACTTGAAATAACCTTGTACAGTCCACCGGTCCAACTATAAACCTGCTACTAGCCTGCTGCATAAAGTATTTAGCGGTGGCTACATTGAAAATAGCCATAAAGTTTCACACCGAAAATTCACTCAGAACTACATAGGAATTCAGCACGGTGTAATCGACTTGAAAACCGATGTTTGGGATGTGCAGAGACCAGTTAAACAGCCCGAGAATCCACCGACAGCATGATGAGGTTCTTGTTATGACGTAAGAAAATCAATAAATTTAGGGTTTTTTTTAGCGAATATACACTCATTTGCAAAGTAATTCACTTTTTTTCGGGAGACTCATCTGAAACCCAGCTGAATCTGTGATGTTTTCAGGCGACTGATTGTGCTGCACCAGGCAGCCTAATATTTCAAGTAGAACATAAGGTTGACGGAAACCTGGGGGCTGCGCCTACCTGATGAGCCCCAAAAAGAGCGAAACAGGTCGTGAGCTCTCGATGGATTTTCAGCAACCTTATGAGCAGTACATTACAAAGATATACATGTATTGCAATATCTCGAATATCGTTCCAAGTGAAACATGGGGCGTCCTGGTGCAGCAAATTCAGTTGCCTGGAAACATCACAAACGAGAGATTCAGCTGGGTTCCACATGATTCTCTCGAAAAAACAAAATTAGCCTGCAAGTGAGTGTATATTAGCTAATTTCGTGCAATTTGGTGTCAAGTAGAACATAAGATTGACGGCAAACCGGGGACTGCGCCTACCAAAGTCGGCCATCGACCGCATCGACTAAATACTTGGTTTGCACTTACTCTTGTCTTCAGGTCGTATGTAAGCACCAGGTTCCGTGCGAAGCTGTTGGCGAAGGCCGAGTAGAAGTTGAGCACTTGCAGTAGACTGTCCTTCTTGATGCAGTGCAAATCACAATAGGTCAGCGCCCGTACGGTTGCCGCTGAATGACTCATACGGTTAGGTTCTTTCCAAAACGGTTCACCAAAGACATCACCGCGACCTGAATGGAAATGCATGGGGGAGGAACATCAATCTGGATAGTGTGGCAACGATACTGACCAGAGGGATCTTTGGTAAGCGGCACATTTTAATCGCCCCCAGAGAAACGTGAACATAAAATACTAAAGAGAACAACATGTTGCGAGGGCTTCTCGATAGACAGCCACCCAACAAACAAAGTGACCCCGTGGAGGGAAGTGTCTCTCGTAATGCAAAAATTTGTTAGACAAATGCATAGTCTGACCACAGTAAATTTGGAGCATACTTTGTTAATCTGTGGCTGTTCAGCGGAAAATTTAGGTAAGTGGCAGAGCAAACAAGAAGCAGTCTGCTGGGGGGGGTTAGTTGATCCAAAGCAAAGGAGAAACCATGAGCGTCTACTGTGTCACACTGGTCCTTCCGCATAGGGTGCTATCCATCGGAAGGAACGCCACCAAACTTTGTAAAATTACTCGAAAACGGACCCCAGTGGATTTAGTTTGATCTCAGGGTGATCTCAGGGTTTCATTTGCATACTCCGTCCGTGTGCTTTTGACCTTTATTTGTTACGCTCAACCGCCACTCACCCTGCCGCAAAGGTACTCCCGTCCGATACTGCAATATTGGCATTTATGTGTGCAAACGGGCTCAAGTGACCTACATACACACGTGTGCCCGTGCTTCGTTTGCTGAGGAAGCTCTGATTTCCCCTGTCACGTGCTCCGTGTAATCGCACAGCCAAGTAGCATAACGAGATTGACCTCAGAAGCGATGGTGGCAACGCACACTAAAAAGACTACTTTCCAGTCGACGTTGTTTGGTGGGCGGACGTTGAGACTGCGCTGTGGCGGTTAGTGACATAGTTGCGCAATTGCTGAAGCCACGAACGTAGCCTGTTGATGTTTGTCGGGTAATGTGTGCTCAACTTTGTCTAAAAAAGTACCGGGGACCTCTGAATCTAACACTTATTTTTGATATTCGAAGGGCTCAAGGTATCGTATGGGGAGTTCGAGCAGACCGGGTAGTTTTGACAATGTAGTTCCACTCACAGGGATCGCACAGAGACCATTTTTTTTTCTCAAGTTAAGGCGTATAAACGGTGCTCGGAAGTGCAATCTAATCGGAGAAATTTCATCCACTGTGCACTAGCTTATCCGATTTCCAGGCGATAGTCACCTGTTAAACCGAAAGGGATTTCACATCTGGGTGGTGTGAAAATTCTGGTACATCCAGGTGTATGTGCTATAAATTACGCCAAAAAGTTGCTTTTTTCATGATAGTGTACACTCTGAATACCAGTTGAAAATTTTCAAAGAAGATGGAATGATGAATGACAAGGAGCCGCAGAATGGCTCTATGATAAATGACACGAAATGTCTGTCTCAAGAAAATTATTTTGCACGACGGAGTTCATTGCAATCTCTGGCAGTACCCTATGTTTTGCGACACGTGGCGCCTGAATCCCATGATTCATTTATTGGGTGACCAGCATCAACTACTGACCAGCTTCGAGTAGTTAGAACAAATCATAATTGGCGGGAAGAAAAACCAACTTGATTCCTTCTTGTCCGTTTAGAATAAAAAAACACGTAAACGAGGCCACCAAATGTCTGAAAGCAAGCAGGGGGTTGTGCACCTGTGCACGCTAATTTGCCACTCTGTCCTCATTACATGACCACTGGATGAGTGTTCAGGAATAGGATATGTGTAGTTGGAGACTTCGTGGTACAGCACAGTTGTGCTGCCTATTCATGGTAGTGGAAGAGGGACTGGGATGCATGACTGCACGAATATGCACACACAAATCTAAAGTAGAATCCGATCCGCTGGATGAAGCAACCGGATGAGCGTTTGTGTCCTCTTGTCAATGATGCCTCGCAAATCCTGTTGTCCAATGATTTGGCGATGCAATCAACGCATTCACGACTGCTCAAAAGTTATGGCGGATCAATATTCATAACGCAAATTGGCTTTTTCTGAAGGGAATCATGTGGCTTCAAATAAGGTGGACTTTGGTAAGCTTTACTCTGATCTATAACCATTGGAATCACTATGGGGGTGTAATCTCGATTTAAGTCTGCACTCTTTCCCAACTCGTGTAGGAAAAAGCGGGACGAATTCTAATGTGCTGGATGAACCACCGTCCAGCATGCAACTTTCTCCGTGTAAACTAGGACATTCGTGAGAAACAGATAGGGACTAATGAAACCGAGATATTTGACGTAAGCAGTTCAGTAGTAAAGAGGAACTGCATCGTTGATATGTGCAATTATTTACACCTGAACAGGTCAATATGATGGCGCTTGTTTGATGAGGTAGGATAGTCCGACATCTCGGAAGACGACCTAGTAACATAGCTTGGTTGCGTCACTCGGTTGGCCCGCCATTCAGGACTTGCCAGTCAGGCAGCGCCGCAGACGCTTTTCATCTGTTCAGGAATGAAAATTCAGATGTTTCCAGCGTGCGCTGGCGGAAGAGTTGTACACACTCGCCTCGCTGCCAGATGTGCGTAGTTAAAAACACGGAACTGGCGTTGGTTATGCCCTGCTGATGAGCTCTAATAAGAGAAACACTTGATTCCAGTGGTATCCCCCTTTTTAGTGAACTCGCTAGAGTTGTTATTGTATTTGTCAAACGAGAGTCATTTGAATGTACATTCTTTAGAATCATGGAACCACTTGAAAAATATTTACCGTTAGGCCACTATGTTCAAAATGCCCTGCAAATTGAAGACTACCTGAGGCGTGTGAAAGGTGAACAAGTTTGTCTAACATGAATCCTGTAGTTATTAATCGTTCTCCCTCAAATGTTTCCCGAACAACACAATCATACTGTTTTACACCTAAAGTTGTGGAGTTGAGGACAAATCCTCTGTGCGTACACAACAAACCACTCGTTAAACGGAAGTAGTTGAAATAAACTGCGTGCATTTCAGATCATGGTGTCGAACAAACGAAGTGCGGTAATCAATTTGGGTGAAAAGATTGGCGTTTCTAACGGCCCACGCACTATATTCATAAACATTTATCGGGAAAATTCTTTCACCTTAGCAGATTTGACCCCTTTGTGTCTCCAAGTGATATGCTGTCCATTTGGAGCGAAATAGTTCAGGTTACTCGAGCGAATTTGTTGCGCCAGAGCTGCCACCAATCTGAATTGTTCAGAGACACTAAATGGTTGATAAAAAGTTCAGAATTTCGTATGTATTCGTTGTGCCCAGTTATATTTTCGTGTAGTGTACTTCATCTTCTGCGTATAATGCTATCGAAATTCTGATCTTTTCGTCGTGTTGTCGTCACAGCGACTGACCCGATTTGGGGTTCTGCAACAACTATTGGAGTTGAAGTGTGTGTGAAAACACAGATGTTTTGTCAACCGAGTACATCATTCGGAAGTCACGCACAACGTGCAAGTGTCTTTTAGGAAAACTGATAATGGCGCTTCCTATAGCAGTTATCAGTCCTTATGTAATATCGTTCACGAATACGTCACCAATATTCCGGAACGATTTCATTAACGGTTGCTATAACTATGCTTGCAACAGTTCCTTCGAAGACGTAATTCGTTTAGGCAAAAACTATAGATGCCGCGTCCCGCACAGCATCATAAACGACATTTTGACTTGCAGCGCTGAGTTGTCTTCCTGAACGTTTACTCACAAATATGTATGTTTGGCATTGATGTGTGTTGGAGTGCTGAAACTTTCAAACCCATAAAACTCCTTCTTTACGATCAGTCATTAAATTTTGGTTGCCAGGTAATAGTTCTACTCTTGTTTGTCCAGAAACAACCATCGTATGGTTACACTACCTAACTACTTTTTTCCTCTTTTCCGGTGACTAGGACATGTTTTGTTCGGCGTATTATTGATCTTGTACAAAGTCGCACTGCAAGCCGGTTAGTTTTTGTCAAGTCTCAGTCCAACCCACAGTTCTAAAGTGATTAATATCTCTTGAAGTTTTCAACTTTTCTCGCTGTTTTCCCTAGTAAACATGGTTTGCTCACGCGCTGCTGCGGTGTGCATTTGTTCGCTTGTTTATCTGTCCCGTGGCTTTCGGAGTCTCGTTATTCAAGCAACTACTGACCGGAAAGCACAGCGGCAACAAAAAAACAGCCGAGGTCCATGCCATACATCTCATAATCCCCTGAGGCTTGGTGTTCATTTTTTAATCTACACCGCGTGCTATTTTTACAATCCAATGAGGAGTTGCCTAGGACTTTACGATGGGTTTTGTTTTAATCCTGTGGATAACGACCGAGATGTGGAATGATTCATTCCCCCTGTTTATGGCATTGTTTCCCAGGGTACGAAACTTAGATATTCAACTTTCTAGATGAGAAGAACACAACAACGAGGGTCAGTCGATTTGTCACGAGATCCAGTGGAGAAAGACATTAAAGGACTCGCTAACCTGTTTTCAAGCCAAGACGAAAGACTTGGGCAACTGGGTCACCACGTGTCTTTGGATCTTTCGATTTTCAGGTCGCTCTTATCTACGAAGGAGTTCTCATCTTATTTGGGGATGGTAGAGGCATCCTCCTTGAGTATTACTTTACAAAGCGTTGTACTGTTTTACAGGTTGCAGGTCTGGAGTGCTTCTATGTGGGGTGTGTTCGCTTTTCGACAAAAAAACACTGTTACTGTGGCTGCCCGTGATTCCGCAGACAGCGTGAATTCTGTGACCGTGCAGCCGCTACCTGAAGGAAATTAAATATGCCGCCTGAATAATTGCACAACTGAGTACTCTGCCAATATGTCTCACGGGTTACGGCACGAAGTTACTGTCTAGAAGGTCCGTGGTTCGAACCCAACCTCAGCATCCGACTGCTCTTGTCTAGGCTTTAGCAAACTGACAGCATCAAAGCCCTTGCACTTCTTCCTGGGTGGCATGGCAGCCATGCCCTGAAAGGCTGTCACAACCGACTGATTTTTAAGATCGTTGCTTTACTACTGTCTGCTGAACGATACTGTTTTTATGAGAACTACTCAAACGGACCGAGGTATGTTTCTCTATCCGTCACCTAGTAATCATTCCCA